AATAAATATAATTGCAATGCCCCAAATGCACATTGGGCGCCATTCATTGTGTAGGATTTTTAATTAGTCCTCCTTGGGCGCCATATAATGTAAAGTCAATAAGTGTAATAGCTATATCCGAAGGACAGAAAAACCAACGGGAATGGGCGCCATTTATTGTGTAGTTGTTTTTTTTTTTTAATACAAGTATGGCCGGACGTCCTAGAGGATTTTTTGCTTAGCCTCCTTGGGCGCCATATAATGTAAAAACTATAATGTAATTGCAATGTTCAAATGCCCTTGGGCGCCATTTATTGGGTATTTTTTTTTAATACATGTATGGCCGCATGTCCTGAGAGGATTATTAGTGGCTCGTTGTTGATATAAATTTTATAAATCCACCCATGGAGCACTTTAATTTTAACCGGTCTTTCCAAGAGGAATTTTTAACCTTACGTTGGGCGCCATTCAGATGAAATTGTGAATCGATTGCTTATAAGAGTTTTTAAACCCTCATTGGGCGCCATTTGTCGTAAAAGATGTTTTTCACAATTTATTTTTAATTTATCATAAAGACCTCTTGGGAGAATTTTTAAATTTGTAATATTTTGGATAAATATTTTTTGATTCAATTATTAGAAATCCACTTTGGGCGCCATTCCATTTTGTTTTTTTTAATGCAATGCGTTGTCGATGTCTCGAAATGTTTTAGTACTTTTTTGATACGCTTTTCTTACTAGATCTCATAATTCTTCTTGTTATAAAACCAATGTTTGTTTTTTTTAGTGGAGAAAGATGGAAATAGGGCAGGGAATAACTATGGTTTCAGAAAGAGCCATCAATCCTCATAAGTTTCCTTGGTTTTTGTTTGGTTCCTCAATAGAAGCGGAACCAAAGAATTGAATTGAACTCAGATTCTTTTGGGATTTCTTCCAAGCCTTACAACCGCACTTATAAACATTTCCATCTCTCTCCACTTGTTATGCGTTCGTTTACCTGGCCGACATAGAAAACAATTTCCGAATACGTTGGTTTCATGTGGTAGTTTTGTTAAACTCACATTGGGCGCCATCCATTGCAAAAAACTGTACTAAATAGAAATTTAAAAAGGATTTCATATTTCACATTGGGTGCCATTCTCTGAATAGCTCGTGGTAGTACTTTTTTCATAAAAAAATTACTTAGCATAGCTGTATTCGAACTACCCCAATAAATATATATTTCGCAAAAAAATATTTCGAATTGTGCACTTTCTTTGTTTCACACCAATTCCTCGTTTTTGCATTTACATTTTCCCAAATCGAATCACCTGATTTTACAAACAAATCCCCAGAGCGTTAATTTCAAAAAAAGACACAGTTCATACACACTCACACACAAGTTGTAGATCTTGTCATTGATGATTTTTCTAAAATGAACTGAGGGTGGTTTCAATTTCTCTTGTACCCTTCAAAAGCTATGTCTGGTTGTGGTTATCACAAAAGTTTCCTGTTTTTTGTATTTATTTTAAATTGGGATGCATTCAAAGAGAAGGTATCCAAAACCGTGGGAGCGTAATCAATATCAGTACCTCTAGAATGTCTTTTCAGGTTAATTCACTGGTTTTTCTGGTTCCTGGCTAAAGTTTTGTGGCTTTTATGGGAAGCGTGGAATTTGATTTGGCCATGGCTGGCTGCTTGGCAACGTCATCGTCATCTTCGTCGTCATGGCCAAGAACAACAAGCACAGTTGACACTTGTTGTTTTATGGCTTTTAAAAAGGTTCTGACACATTTTAGCATATTTTTGCTCTTAACGCCCGCATATTTAGTTATGGCCACATACATGAAAATTTGATGCCAAAAATCGCACGCACACACACACTGACACAAATTTACACGCATCCACACACACAAAACTAAAATCACCTGTGGCCTATAAATTTCTTGTAGTTTATGTCGCTGAGCATAAAAAAGAAAAGAGAAACCAGAACCTTGGCCAATATGCAAAATTCCTATGTGAGGTGGTGGTGGAGATGCTGCTGCGTATCTTCAAGACATTTTCTGTTTTTTTTTTCTCCTTTGGACCAATGATGGATCACCGTAGATAAGCAGATTCGTCTTCATTTTTTCAGAAGGTTTTTTTGTATTTTTTTTATGACTATTGTTAGCATTTCTTTGGGACTTTGGATGGCTTTAGAAAGAGCATGGTTTGGTTGGTTGGATATTTGGGTTCTTGTGCGATGTGCGTGCATATAATCGCATCAAGTCATATGACAGACGTCTGTTGTTTGGCTGTGTGGCAACTTAAGTATGACAATCTATGGCTAAGGCTCAAAAGTCACTGGTGGCGGTGTAGTGGTGTATTTGTGGGTTATGTGAGTACAACTGTGACGGTATCAAAAGGCTTAAAGCGCATGTCATCAGGCATAAAAACACATATATTTGTGGCCGGACGACCAGTGACCACTACGGGAAACCAACATACGAAGTATGCAACAAGTTGCAAGAGTTTGTTGCAAATGGTAAATATGAGATGACGATGGTGGCCTCAACCACTTTTCCACCATCTGCAGCAGCTTGTGCTCAGCGTTATAATGTGCCAAAGACAGGCCAGAAACAAAACTGTTGTTATTGTTGTGGTTTTTTCTGTGCTTAGAATTGAGTTGACGAAGAAGCATTTTGTAGACTCAACATGACGTATGTCATTTTACACATGCAACCTCTGCATTAAAGGTGTTGCTGCAAATGTCTCGTCTGTTGTTGTTGTACCGCTTTCATGAGAGCTTACATTTGAAATTGAAAAGAGTATATATCTGTATGTATGTGTGCATCCATACATATCTAGGGTTGTCAGGTGTTTTCAATGTGCATGACTAATAATTGAGGTATTTCAAATAAGGGGGTGTTGTAGGCAAAAAGTTTATTGAATTTATTTACGATTTTACTAATTTTTCTTTATTTTTTTTTTTATTTCAGATTTTATCAACTCTTTAGAAATGTTAAACAGATAGAACCGACGACATTAAGGTAAGAACTTGCTCTTCTTTTCTTGGTTTTTATGCAAATAATATAAAGTCAGTCTCATTTCGAATAAATTCTCCGTAATTTTGAAAAAAAAAAAAAAAAAAATATGATTATTTCATGATGAACGTTGGGCGCCATTCGTTGTGAAGATTTCATTTAGATGGATTGCACAAGGATATCATAGTTCACGGTGGGCGCCATTAATGTTTTAGTTCTTACTTGTATTTTTTTTTGTAATAGAAAATCTTACGGATCAAAGCCGAGTTAGAATTATTCCCTTGAAATTTATAACCTCCAATGCAAAAAAGATTGGTGTGAGATGTGCAATTTTTTCGATTCACACTAATAACAGGATGTACCATTTTCGGTGGTTGAAGGAAAAAGATGGATCTACATTGTACACATTTTTCGAGGAGTAAACCCACCAACTTGGAGGCCGTAATCTTCAATTACAGCTAATTTAGTTGAACATTAACACAGAGTCCTCACAAAAATAATAAAAATTAGACCTACATTCATTTTTTTCTTATTTTTTTTAATGAGTTTATATGCCCACAGAGAGCCAGAAATATTTAATAAAGGCTGGTTTGGGTGCCAATTGGGGCTAGTAAAAGTGGACCTTTATTGCAAGTTTCTTGCGAGGAGTAAATCTACTTACTGGGATACTGTAATTTTAAACACCGGAGGTACAATCATATGGGGCTGTACGAAAAGGAGTATCTGTATTATTTTTTATAGAAATAGGAGAGGTCTTAATCTCAAATTTCATTCAAATACATCACTTTTTTAATAGACAGTTCATAAGAATTTTAAAACCTCACTTTGGGCGAAAAATACAACGAGGTTGTAAAAATCTCATCGTTGGTAAATTAGTATTCTGCTGGTAAAAATATTTAAAACCACCGTTGGGCGCCATTTTCTGTAACTGATTTGGTTGAAAGTTGAGGCAAAAATCTTCCAAGAAGCTCTTACTTACAGTTGATTCGGTTGGGAATTGTGGCAGAAACTTATTAAAAACCGAAGATCAGGAGAAAATGTTTTCAATCCTAGTGCCAACTTCAATGCAAGTGCAATATTTCAAACCTCTATCTCGTTGGGCGCCATTCAGATGCAATTTTGTAATAGAAAGCTCATTCGAATTTTCAAAGCTCCCCGTTGGGCGCAATTTTCAGTAAAAATCAGTGAGTTACAACAATCTTTGGTTGAGGCAGATATCTCAAAAATACTTTAAGTCAAGAGGTATCACTATATGGGGCTATACCAAAAAGTGACTTTAAGTGAAAATTTTCTTGTGAGTAGGTAATTTGTCCACCAGGAGCCCCTAATTACAGATGATTTTGTTGGGCAAATCGAAGATTAAGAGGAACCTTTTTATTAGGTCTCTATCTAAATGTTCCTTTTCCAATCCTAGTGGCAACTTCAATGCAAGTGCAATATTTCAAACCTCTAGCACGTTGGGCGCCATTCAGATACAATTTTTTAAAAGACAGCTCATGAAATTGTTTTCAACCCCTCGTTAGGCGTCATTTTACGAAAATCTCAGCGAGGTTACAAAAATCTTAGCATAGATAAAATTGTATTTCATAAGAATTTTTAAGACCCCCGTTGGGCGCCATTTTCCCAAAACATTATTGAGTGCACAAAGATTAATCGTTCCGAGTCACTTCATCTTTGGGGAAATCTGCAGACAATACTTTTTTACTTATAAATCTTAATTCTAAGTAAAAAAAAATATTGCAACCAACTTTTCTAAGTAATCAACGGAATACACATACATTTGAACTGAATTTGTTTCAGTTGAACATTTTTCACCGAACTGCACAAAAATTGGCCTATGGATTGGAATTTCTATGGCATAACTTTTGCTGAAAATTCCATTTCATTGTTAAAAATTATACTCAGTTTCTTTCAAATATAAAAAAATAAATAAATAAAAAATATTTTTTTTTTTTTGTACTAAAAATTGTAAAATCTTAAGGCAAAGAATTAAATTTCATTCAACAATCTAGCAAGACATTTTCCACCATTTTCATAATTTGGCCTCAAAACCTGTAAAAAACTGTTAAATAGGCGATTTGCAAAGTTGATTCATAACAATGCTTAACAAAATTGTTTTTTTTTTTAAATTTCAATACATTTCTTGGTGCAAAACCATAAACTGTAACATCACACAAACACCTTGCAGTTTTCAATGTTCTTTGTTATAGTTTCGTTTTTTCTTCTTTCACTTTTCTTTTTTTTTTCTTCTCGACAAATTTAAGTATTTCATTCAATTTTATTTAAAAATTTAGTTCAAGTTTTTTTTTTATAAAAGGCGCCATAAATTTCGAAATTTTTTCTCCCTTAATTGAGCACGAATTTTGCTCATAACTGCAATGTTAACAATTTTCTTGAATGGTGTTTCGAACCGAAAAAGAAAAACAAAAACAGCATTTAAAGCAACATTTATTAAGTCTTATGCTTTGAATTTTTTTGCCTTACTTTCATAGCTCGATCTGTGATTATGAATGGAAACAATTTAGTCAGTCAGTGGTGCTAAGAACAAGAAGACCTAACAGAAAATGAAAAAAATGTATTTAGCATTTGGAAGAAATATAAAAAACGGTTTTTTTGCCACCAAAACTGTCATTGTGTTTATTAAACAAAACACTCTGGTCGATTAAAGAAATTAAGTTATCAAAGAAAGAAAAAAAAAGAGTCTTAAAAAAGATATATCAATTTTTTTTCTTGGCACATTAAAGCTGAGCTAATTTGATTTTTATTATGGTTCTGGTTGTGCATACATATTTAAATTTGTTTGGAAAAAAAAAAATAAAATAAAAATAATAAAATAGAATTTGATGATTGAGAGAAAAAACTGTATTTGTTTTAAAAAATATTTTTTTTTAGATTGACCTTAAAAATCAGTTTTTGCCAGATTTTATTTTTTGCAATTGTTTTTGAATTGTCCAAAGTCATTACAATCAAAAATTTCTTTTTTTTTTTCTTTGCAATAAATTCCAAATAAAAACTTCAAAACAGCAGCAATTTTTCCTATGACTTGATGAATGATGAAAATAGAAAAAAAAAAACAAAATCATTTTTGCTATGACAAAAGTGGCAATCTGTCCGAAACGTTCAACGTATTTGTTCTGAGCTTTCAATGGCATTTTGGGGTTTTTAGTTTTGTTCTAAAACCAGCAATGGCCAAACGATTTGCTTTTCTATTTTTTTTTTTTACTTAAAGCAAAAAATAAAATAAAAATTCACCTGTATTTGAAAATTCAATGTCTACGACACGTTGTAAGCTTCACAAACATACAGACACATATGACAAATATTGAGAATGCAAGCACTCACACACACATACATACACACGCAGTTCTAAATCCACTGCGCAAGCATTTAATGCAATTCCTTAGTGGCCTAAAATAGAAGGTCGTCGTTGTTTGCCATTTTTAGATGGAAACGTTGCAACCATATCGGCAGCAACAAACGCACACACTTGACGCAAATGCAAAAGGCAACAATGATCAGTGATGGAGAGAAAAAAAAAAAACAAAAACAATTGACTCCTGCGCCTCCCATGCAACCAAGCAATCTCTAGACAATTTTTGGAGTATGACTGCATCGCCTGCAACGCATTTGCCAGAGACAAAAGATTTAAGCAACGAACTTTAGATGATCAAATGTGAACTTGCCTAAAAAAAAAGAACACCACCACCACTAACAACAACAACAAGAAAATCTACGCATTTACAACAACCATAATAACAATCTGAGCAAATAAACCATTCAAAAACTATGAGTGAGGCTGTGCAAGGCAGGCAGACAGAGAGACATTCGGGCGTACAAATGAACGAACGACGGGCAGACGACATACTGCTCACCAGACGAACATTATCGTATATATTTATTGCAAACGCATTGACTTGACTTGGTAAGACAAGCATATATGATCGATCTTGACGTTTTTTTTTTGTATTGCTGTTGTTGTTGTTTTTTTTTATTGTTGGAGGAGATTTGATTTGTTGGAGGAGATTTGGGGAAGCCATCCCTCCATACAAAATGGACAGTGCTACATGTTGCTTGAAATAAACATTTTTAAAGAAAGAGAGAGAGAGATGGAAAGAGATCATGAGTTGGAAAAAATTGATTATTTCCTTCAAAGAAAAATAACATATTTCTCTCATTATCAAGTAATGAGAAGAGGTGAAACAGAGTTTCTTAAACGGATCCCATTATCCAATCGGAAAAAATTTGACATTCATACTCTCTACACATGACATTCATGCCTCTACATTACCAAGAAGAGAGAGGGGTGAGAGAGGATACTTTTTGGTAGCATTATAAGGTAATGTAAACAAACTTACTTCGGCATTAGCAACAGATTGCAAATAATAGGTAATTTCTTATAAAAAATTACAAAGAAAAATAACTTATTTTCCTCATTACCAAGTAATGAGTAAAGGTGACATTCATACGTGCCACATATTACCAGTAATGGTAACCATTTATGTTCTACGAAAATAATGTCATATACATGGCCTCTGCATTACCAGAGAAAGAGAATAAATTATGGGAGCTTTATGAGTCAAATAACCCATTACAAGGTAATGTAAGCAAACACTACCTTCGGCATTACCCATACGGTTAAAAATAATGGATTATTTCATAAAAATTGCAAAAAAACCGCATTAGCAAGTAATGTGTAAAGGCGACACAGTGTGTCTAAATCCCATCATATTGTGTATCTAGCAAAAGTTTGGCATTCATCTTTACCAGTAATGACAACTATTTACTCTCTACTCCAAAAAAGTTTAACTACATGGCCTCAGAAATAGACAACAATTTTTGGGAGCAGTATGTGTCAAATAACCCATTACAAGGTAATGTAAGCAGAAACTACCTTCGGTATTACCAATTGGTTGAAAATAATAGATTCTTGTTAAAAAAAATTCCAAAAAAAATCCTCATTACCAAGTAATGAGTAAAGGCGGCACAGTGTGTCTAAATCGTAACAC